AGTGCGTGTGCTTGTGTGCGATGGAATTTGCTCAGTTTATGAAACGAAGAAAACATTTCCATGCTCTCTTTTTTCCTTTAATTTGTATATTATTTAGCACATTCTATTTTTGGGGCCAAAAGCACAGAAAACAGGCCGCAAAGTTCAATTGACTGGCTGTTTTTATTTATCCAGGCAATATTTGATGCGAGGGCGAGATGTTTTTTTGGGGGCGTTGATGGATTTTTGAACGTACACTTTGTGTTTTTGGGTCCAAGGTAATTATTTAATAGCTATTTAATATTTGGCCCAGTTCAATCAATAAATAGTTGAAATCACAGTTTTCAATTTTTGATTCTTCAATTTTCTATTTGTTTGCATTCTGGTTTGAGTCTTTTTAATATTTAAACTTGTGTTTTGGTTTTCAATTAGTATTTAATTATAGATTTTTAAACGTACACTTTAGATTTCTGAAAGCCAGGTTATTGGCCCAGTTAACTAGGTAAATTTAAGCTAGCTGCTCGGTTTTCCAAATTGATTTTCGTTTTTACTTTAAGGTAACCAAATACGTTGTGATCGAATGAACTGCGCTCGATGACTGACTCACAGTTTGTAAGCGACGTCCGACGTTTAGGTCGCTGTTAACCTGGCTCAAATGGAAAACAACAACACATTGCCCATGGCAATGAGCAGCTGAAACAGCAACAACGCAGCTGTTGGGCGACGCCAAAGGGTGCGAGTGAGAGGAAAAGAGCGCGTGCGCGCGTTTTTGATCGCTTCGCGGTTTACAGGCGGTTTCGACCGCTTTCGCCGTTCTATCTCTTTGCAGTTGTTGTTGTTGTTGCTGCTGTTGTCGCTCGGTTAGTCACTAAAACCTGATCATAACAACCAACATCGGGGTGGAAAATGAATAGCAGAGTCAGGTGTTTTCCTGCCACTTGCTGAATGCATAAATTCGAAACTGCAGTCAATTTTATAACGATTTTATACCCTGCAGTGCACACAGCGATTGGGTCTGATAAGCCCACCCTTGAAGATTTCAAAATATATGTAATAGTCGTTTACCCATTAATAATCATAGCGAATAAAATGAGTCAGACAATGCTAAAAGCCTATCCTAACACTTTTAATCGTTTAAAATAAGTTAGTGTAGCTCTAATGATTATAATTAAAAGTTTACGACGTCATAAAATGCGCAGAGAAGCGGATAAAGTAATATTTCCCTTCCACTGGAAAGTTTTCAATAATTTTCCAAATTCATATGTTTTCAAGATATTTAAACGGTAGTTAAATTTACAAAAGTCGTGTATGTACATATTTCACATATTTTTCAGTACACAATAAATTTCCAGTTAATCTGATACAAAAACAATTATTATCCCAATAAAAGCCACACATTAAAACATTCATAAGTATTTTTTTATTAATGTTTCCCAATATACTTTCCCAAAAATAAATATTTTATGTATTTTCATTTATGATTCCTCTTTGATTTTTACTAAGAACTAAAACTTGGATCCAAGAATTCTGCATTAATTGGAAATATTCTAGATTAGAATGCCAGATTTCTTTAATAGGTATGCATTTCGAAAGCATTTTAAACCGATTAACCTGTGTTTTTCCTACATATAATAGTCAGATCATCTGATCGCCTAGGGCTCTTTTCGCTTGGGTTTTTTTTCAGACAACTGCTTTGGGTCATATCAATTGGCAGGTTACGTGCCTGGAGCGCAAGGTGTTTATTATTAGCAGCATTTCAGCATTTCTGACGTACTTCGGACTGCCCCATTCAATGCTTTTATTTTCGCTCTTATTTTCGCTGCTATCAAAAACATGGAAGCACAAAAACAATTGCACACACACGGCTATGTTGATCGGCCAGCTAAATATAATGCAATTTAAAAATAAACATTTTGTTTGTCATTTGCCACTTGTGTTTGGCCTTTGGCATTTTCGGGGCACTCAGCCAGTCATACTGATAAGACCGATGATGATGATCGCAGCGAAACAACTTTAGACAATAATTCCCATCGAAAATTACACATCTTACGTATGTATCTGATAGATACATTTGGCCGACTAGCTTGTGGGTTTTCCATTCCCACAGCGTCAGCTGGTAAATACGTTATGAGGTAATAGAAGTCGCATTCAGAGGCCGCTTCGTGGCTCAACTTAAATTACCATTACCATTAAAGAAAACGTACAAAAATCAACCTGCCAGATATGTAGCTGAAAGTCATGAGTTTGGATCGCACTCATTTCCCATGACGATCCTTTGGCCAGGAAGGAAGCAAAGTAACGTTCATTTAGCGGGCAGCCCCTGCCACTTTTTCTACTAATTCCCCATAGCACGAGGGTTGTTTTCTGTTGCACCTGTGACGGCATGTGCCACACCACCTTTTCAAGGGAAAACCACGCAGGTTGCCGCCAAAATGCCGTCAGACGAGAGTCAACCTGTTGGAACACCCGGCCAACTATGTCCCCGATTGCGATTGCGTGTTTAAAAATTGCTTCTAAATATAAGTCAACTGTCACAAGTGATATGGGGTCGAAGGTGCACTTGACATGCTTACTCATTAGTCCCCAGCTGTTTATCTTTTCTGAAATCTTTAAAACAGAACAAACAAGCTTAGAAAATACCTGTCGTGCTAATGAAACTTAATTAACTAACTTTTCCCCAAAAGATTCATAAAGTACGCTGCTAATACACACCTGGAATTTATCAGATAAAGAATTGATTGATCGAATTCTGCTAAAACCAACAAGGGTTCGGAAGATTCGATATTTAATTATATTTTCTTAGTATAACATAATTTCATAAAATTGAGAATGAATATGGATCTAAAATTAAAAACAGCATTTCAATGCATATTATAAAAAACATATTATCAAAGAAATAAATGGGAAATCCCACTTCGCCATTCGCTTTTAATATATCAAGTTATGAGTCACATAAGATCTGGGTCACCCTTCATTCAACTGAAGAAGGGATCAGGGTCACCAATCCCTATCTTCAACTGATCACAAGCAGCCAAGCACATAAAAAAAATTCAAAGGGTAATACAATTAACACCTTACCAGGTGTCGCAGATACATATATGGATTGGTAAACAATGGTAGCACTGTTTGTCGATTGCGACCATGAGAAAAGAAATAGAGCATTCTATCGAAGGTGCAAGAACGTGCTGAAATAAGCAAACAAAATAAAGCCCCAAACACAGATTACCAATTCCAAGCCCCAACAAATGGTATTTTAAAAAGACACTTTGGTCTTTTAGTCATTTTTGTGGTGTGTGGGATAAGGAACGTTGTGATAAAAGGCTGAATAGGACTGATTCAGTCAGGCATAAAACTAAGCAAATATTGTAATGGAAATGGACACACAATGTGAGTAATATAAATTATTCCACCTAGGGTATTCGAAACCTCTCCCTTACTACGGTTGACTTGTGCATAATTAGATAGACTTCCCAATAGCTTGACAAGTTTGTTTTAGGGGGAGTCATCGATCAAGTGGGAACCGATAAGTGTGAGATGTGTGAGATATATATTCACATGTTGGCGACTTACCTCATTCTCCTCGGAGTACAGGCCACAAACGAGTTCTCGAAATGACATTTTTGCATTGAGACGCCTTTTGTTTGGCTGTATAAAACAATTGAACTTGCAATTTGTGAACGTTTTCTTGATTTCTTCTTGTTTTTTATCGTAATGAGAATTTATTTATATTTATTTCAGTCGCAACTGCTGACGCAGGGCTCCTTGAACTGGCGTTGAACTTTTTATGGAGCAACTTTTCGCGACGGTAATTTTATTTATTTTTAATATGCACATATGAAACAAAACAAATAATCAAAACACAGCGTCGAAAGTGAAACCGTCGCAACGAGCGACCAAATCGCACAAAATCGTATAAAAATCGCGTGTTGTCAAATCGAAAATCAAACTAAATAACGAATAGCCGTCGGGAATTGGGGGGATTGTGGAGCGGTTGGAGGAGTGAAAAGGTCAGCCGACGGCCACGCCATTAATTGCTTTAGATTGAATTAAGCCCGAGTCTGAGGAATCGGCGGAGGCGGCGCTCGGTTTTCAGTCGTGACCTACGCGCATGACGTCATTGGATCGGAGCACTTTATTTTTAGCCGGCGATTTCCGCCCTTATCACCCGTGACGCGGTCGGTTCCCCAGATTCCGATAGTAGCGATCGGAGTCGTAAATTCTAGACAAGTCCGCGAAATTGGAGTTGGATAGCGGAACCGTGGCCACCGATTGCCAAAGCCCCACTGTGACTACTAAACCCCGGGCAAACTGACAAAGGAATCGCCGATATATGGCCCACTAAAACCAGAGAGTGCCTCGGAGAGCTCTGGCCCCTTATCTGGGTGGCCAGAGAGCGAGGAGTGTGGAGCGATAAGCTCCGAGAACGCAGGTAACTTCGAGCGCGTCCAGGTAAACAGATTTTTACCCGCGCACAGGAACGGTTCACAAATGATGAGGGTTCTAAACTTTGGGTGCAAAGAGGAGAGCTACAAATCATTTCTCTATCAATATCATTTCAACGATCTTCCTAAAATAAAATAGTGAAGGTTTTTAACCAGAAAATGAAATAAAACAGTAGAGTCAAAACTGACTCCATGAATGAGTTCTAAACTTCTTGGTAAAGCCAAATACAATTTCAAGTCCTAATCTATTTTTAGAAATGCTGAAAAACACCCTTGTACTTTTTATAAAGCCACAAAAGTCCCTAGATATTAGATGGTTAATCACATTATGATTTATAGCACTTTTAATAGAATTGGTTTCTAATATCTAGCGTAAGTTCCAAATTATCATCTATGATTCCAGTCATTTGTAAATCCCCAGCTTGATTTTATGTTATAAATAATTATACAGATTTCTGGTGTTGAAAAATACAGAATGTGTGGTAAACCTAACCTGATTTTAGTCCTTAAATTGTATATATACATCGAAAGGCTTTCTAAGATATTATCCAAAAGAAAGTAACAGAAAATTGTACTCACCCCCAGATCCGGTTCGCTGTTTGTAGCTTCCAAAAGGCAGTGTGAGGATGAAGAGGCCGAGAGACTGGCCCGATCCCTGTGAGATTTGTGTAGATTCTGCAGGCTGGCCCACGTGTCCATGGGCTGATCGATGCATGCTTCACTGACCGACGACTGGACGCTGTCGATGGCCTCGAATCCCAGCGAGTGTCGGGAGCCAGGTTGACCAAACACCTGGGCACTCAGCTTATGCGGCGTCGTTGGCGTCTCCAGAACCAGCGATCTGCGCATCTTGCGGGGCACACACGATGGATGGGCAAAAGTGTGCGCTTCATCCAGAGACGGAGCAGCCGAGTGCAACGATATGTCGTCCATGGAGGCCACTGCGCCCAAAGCACGCGGCGAATCGTCCACAAAGAGATTCAGGACATCATCACAGGAGCGGGTGGAAGTGAGATTCGTGGCAGGACTCTTGATCAGGTTGAAGCTGGCCAACAGATTGGGTCGCCGCAGCGAGGAGCTCTCTGGCGGCGATTTCAGAAGGGCAGCATGATCGGGCATGGCCCGCACAGTCAGTCGGTTGTCCGGAATTCCCACAATGCCTAGTGGACGCGCAGGCGCCGGGTGATTCGGTGGCCCTGCATGCGCAGCCCCTGCTCCTGCTCCCAGAAAGTCCACGACCAGGATGCGATCCGAGATATTCGTGCAATCGTTATTGAAGCCAATCCCAGAATCGGAATTTGAAGTGGTGGTGGAGATCTCGCTGTGGTTCGATGGCTGCGGCGAGTGGGCCGCTGCTCCTGCTCCTCCAGCGGCAGCCGGACCGTCGTAGTCCACTTGATGACTCCGACTGGCAGGCGGCAGGATACGCATGGTGTACATGCTGCGCACCAGATTCACCACATACTCCGAGTTGTTGGGAAACTCCAGGCACAAATTCGAGATGGGATCCCTTGTGCACTGCAGCCGGAACTCATGGGCCCGCTGCAAGTGCTGGGCATGCTCAATCAACTTGGTGTCGATCACGAACACGTGGCAGCTATGCGAGATGCTGATGTGGCCAGCAGCTGCTCCGCTCCCGGCACTCGGCTCGTACTCCTCCTCGATCTGGGTGTTGTGCACGGCGCTGGTCACCAAGCCAAAGAAGCGATTCTCGCTCTCCGACGAGGAGCTGACGAAGTTCAGTCTCGCCGAGGAGTAGGTGGCCAGGACTCCGCCACCGGCGCTCTGCAGGCATAGGCTATCCGGCGTGATGCACATCAGCACAATGGTAGGCTGTCGCTTCTCCTGGCGCAGCTTTCGGATGCAGGACCTCACGGTCTGCAATTTGGAGCTATGAGAGATCTGCTTGGGCATCTCGATGGTTCCCAGATAGCCCACAATTACGCGGTACTCCAGGGCAGCACTGCCCACCGCCCGCACCATGGCACTGACATTGGCCACATCCGCTGCTTTGGATAGATTGGCTGCCACGGGGGCATCCTCTAGGACGGGTCTTAGTGTCAGGTGGTCAGGGGATGTCTTGGAGCTCTGGGGTTCTACTCTCTCTACATCGGGCAGCGGCAACTTCTTCTGGGGCGAGTTACGCAGTCTGTGGAGCTTGGCTTTGTGGTGGAGAAACCTGGGTTTGTGCCTCAAACTGGCGGCCAGTAGTTGACCCCTCAACGTGGCATGCGCGTTCTCCTCATCCGAGCTATCCGAATAGTAGTTCTCGGCGATCTGCATGCGAATACTTCCAAAGGAGTTGCCTATTAGCTGGACCACGGTTTCATGCGGCAACTTGGAGACGTTAAGGCCATTGACGGAGATGAGGAAATCGCCGGAACGCAGGCCTGCTTGTTCGGCGGGTGAACTGCTGATGATGCAGGATAGCCGGCAAGGTTGCTGCCCCGAAATGGTGAAGCCAAATCCATTGTACCCGCGTCGCACCTCCACGGTGCGGATGCCATTGTAGTTGTAATTGGGTCGCTTCTTGCGACGTCTCTGGTGTTGTTGGGTATTGGATCCAGACGGAGTGGAGGAGGTGGCAGGTCCGGCGACCACAGCAGGTGGTGCATCCTCCGCTGCTGCTGCTCCTGCTCCCGCTGCCGTGGAGCCACTTGCTCCTGTTATGGGCAACGGCGGATGATGGTGGTGCATGGCGATCGATCACTGGGGGGGAAATTAATAATGGTAACTGGAAACCACAATTCGATCTTGGACATTCGCACCTTTCTCATGGATGGAAGCTGCAACCTGGATTTCTGGAAATGGAATGCGGTTTCTGTCGCTGCCCCTTTTCCAGTGTTGCCCCCTCTCGCTCGCACCTATCTTCGCCTATGCCAACTATGTAATCAATGGCACACACACACGCGCGCAAACTGCCAGGCGTATTTTGTTGCACTTTTCTAGGCACCTATTTATTTAGTTGGCAGCTCGTCGTTGATTGCAAGCCCATTGCCACACTGTTAATAACTTTGTTTGCACTTTGTCAGGCTTAGTTTTAAACATTTAAGCAGTTTAATTTAGTAATTAAAAAATGTCTACAATGCGCAAGCGTAACTACTATTGCGGGTGTGGTGTTACCACTGGTGGAACGCTGAAAAATACCACACTACGGTTATCAAACAACAAGAAGGATGGTCACACCTTTTGCTTTGAAAATTGTTTCTTTATATTTTTTTTTTATTGTCTTTTAAGGAAATTCGGAATATTAAAATCACTAAATTTACTTAAAAAAAATAATTATGACCATGGAGCTAAGTATTTGTACCTAATTAAGAAAGTTCATAAATTGTATTATACTCAAATCAAATTAATCTAAATAAAATTTTTCCTAGCCTAGAAATTATTACCGTCGTTATTTTTTTTATCAATAAGGTGACCCAGATTTTAAGGTAACACGCTGCAATACTTCAATACTTTAATTGCATTGCCTTAATATCTCACTAAGTAGAACATTTCCACTAATTTTTTTTAGTTAGGGTATATCGACCGATTCAAATAAATAAAAAAATTCCATATGCCATATTTAATCTTATTTATTAAGTTACAATCGTCAATACTCATGTTACTTGTTATCAGGACTCAGTAAATAGCCTACATTTACGTTGATTCATTAGAGGATTCATCCTGGGCCTCCACTTTCTCCTCCTCATTTACTACATCTGCAACTGCAGCACCTTCGCCCTCTTGCTCTGGATTGCTGTTACTATTGCTGGAACTGCTGCCATTGCTCTCGACCAAATCTTCCTGGTCAAATCCATTCGTATGCTCCGGCGTGGGAGCAGTGTCATTGGCACTGGGTTCAGGAGCCACGCTCTGTAGCTTCTGACGGGCGGCGTGGACGAGCTTCTCCAGCTCGACGCACTCCGTCTCTATTTCGTAGTTCTTGGACACCAGCAGCACCCAGTGGGCCTCCAAGGAACGCAATCTCTCGCCGGCCTGCGTCTGCGCCTGTTTGCGCTGCCAGTTGACGTCCTGGATGTCCTTCTTCAGCTGCTGCAGCTGCAGCTGCGCCTTCGCTTGCATGGCGGTAAAGACCTCCAGGTAGGACTTCCACGCCTCCGTGCCGTAGTCGAGCATCAGTTCCAGGTTGAGGGATCTCACCCACTGGTGCTCCAGTTGAGCCATAGAGTTCTCGATGGCCTCCTGCCAGGCGGACACCTCGGAAAGCTTTCCAGACGGTGGCGGCGGGAGTTCATAGCGCTTCATCGAGAGTGTCTCCATGGGCAGTCGGTTCTGGATCCGCTCGAACTCATTGACCATCAGAGGAGTCTCAAATGGCGAGGTGGCGGGAAGGGGCAGGTGATCCAGGTAGTTCTTGGTGGGGCGATACCGACGGCATTCCTCCTCCACCATGGCAAGGGCCTTGAGAAGAGCATGGAAACATTTTATTTACATTTATCATTCCTTTAACCAAATCAGGAACACTAAAAACTAGTTTAATGAACTTACCGACTCCCTGACGCCGACATCATCATATCCATGATCTATATAGGGCAATGCATCCACAATAACTTCGCCAGCCATTATTTATAATTATTTTTAAAGTTCTTACAAATTTTACCACAAGTAAACAAAAATAAATGCCATAAGCCGCTCAGAAATAACGGCAGAGGTAACTTTCTAGCTTTTTTATTGCCAAAATGTAATTTAAAAAAAAAGCCAGAAAAATGTTATTAAAACTGTTAAATAAATTATTTATTAACTTACAATATTTAAAAACTGGTTTACTCTAAATAAGCTCTCTAAAAACTGAATTTTGTAAGTGCATATATATGTTTTTGTATTATATATAGTTAGTTAAGTTGCAGTATAAAAACAAATAATTTGTATATCTATCTATCTATACATTAATATGTTGAAACAAATCTGCTATAGTTTTCTTTGCAGCGTTAATTTTTTTTAACCCAAAATTCAAAAATTCAATTAATGGATTTAAAATACTGCAATTTTGTATTAAGCAGATATTTATACAAGTTTTAATTCATAAAATATCAACAAATAAACAAAACCATATTGTTAACAGAGCTCAAACCTAGTATTGTGCAACGTCAAATTCCCCTGTTATCTTGACACTAGCCACTGTTAGCGAATGCAACCCTGCCTCTCCGAACGCGTTTCGCAGCACTTTTCAGCCATTTCCGGCAACTCTCCTTCTTTCTTCGTTCTTCTTAATAAAAAGAGGACGGAATCTGCGTTTGCAGAATATTTAACACCTTTCATTGGGTTTGAAAATCAACGAAAATGGTGAGAAATGAACCTTAACACACCCCGCTACCGCCGCCGAAACCAAAACATTGGATTTAACACACGAAACGGCAAGAAAATAGTGAAAAAGTGTCGCCCTAACCTCCACGTGTTTGGAATGTGCGGCGGTGGCGAAACGCGGATGTTGTGTTTTGTGATGTGAAAAGTAAACTAAATTAATTTATCTCCAACAGAGCTTAGGCAACGCCAGGCCATTGGTCTCCGTGTACACGGAAAAGAACGAGCCAGCCAAGGACAAGAACATCTGCCTGCCGGCGGTGTTCAAGGCGCCCATCCGTCCGGATGTGGTCAACGATGTGCACCAGCTGCTCCGTCGCAACAACCGTCAGGCCTACGCCGTCAGCGAGCTGGCTGGTAAGTAGTCTATATAGTAGCCCTTATAAACAATAAGGCTAATCCGGCTTAATTGTATTTCTCAGGTCACCAGACCTCCGCCGAATCCTGGGGCACTGGTCGTGCCGTGGCCCGTATTCCCCGTGTCCGTGGTGGTGGTACCCACCGTTCCGGCCAGGGAGCCTTCGGCAACATGTGCCGTGGTGGACGCATGTTCGCCCCCACCAAGACCTACCGTCGCTGGCACCGCAAGGTGAATGTCAACCAGCGCCGCTACGCTTTGGTGTCGGCCATCGCCGCATCCGGAGTGCCCGCTCTGGTCCAGTCCAAGGGCCATGTCATCGACGGTGTCTCCGAGTTCCCCCTGGTCGTCTCCGATGAGGTGCAGAAGGTCCAGAAGACCAAGCAGGCCGTCATCTTCCTGCGTCGCCTGAAGATCTGGGCTGACATCCAGAAGGTGAGTCACGTTTAATACCTGCAAGGGTATGCACACTCTTTTAGGCACTTATTAGAAAGTGTTTGACCTTTAATAATCATATATATATTTCGACTATTCGAACAAAACGCGTGGATTTGGGATATTTCGTTCTCGTAAACACGTTTTTCGTATTTTAAACTTCTGATAGAAAGAAAAGGCTCTTCAAACCAAACAGATAGATTTGCTAGCAATATGTAGTTGTTTTAATTAATGATTAATAATTTATGAGTTCAGTGTTATTTTAACGCAAGATTTATTTTACTGTTCAAATCATTAGCGGCGGCGTGTAAGCAACTGGCTACTTAATAGTGATCAGATGTTTGCGAAGCATTCCTGCGTTGCCAGATAAAAGGCTCTTCTAGGCGTTGCGATTGAAACCTGATCCACGGTTTCCATCGCGGTAACGGAAGAGCTACATTTGTTTACCTTTTAATAAGCATGTCTTAAGGTCTTATTTTTATATACATTTAGAACTTATATTTTATTTGTTGTTTTGTACATATGCCTAAAAATTGTTTTCGTAGAAAGCTCTCTGTTTTTACACTTTTAGTTTTGTTGACTTGGATTTTCTATAATTAGTTAAGGGAAATAAACTGCTGTATCGCAGTGTATTACATTTTAGGAAATGCATAAATACTTACAATTTATTGACTTGCGTAAAAATTAAAAGTGTGTAGCTGTATAATCTTAAGTTCCTATTTCTTAATAGATGTTTACAAAATAATAATAATTTATACCCATTTCCCATTCACTCCACAGGTGTACAAGTCGCAGCGTTTCCGTGCTGGCCGTGGTACCATGCGCGACCGTCGCCGCATCGCTCGCCGTGGTCCCCTGGTGGTCTACGACAAGGACGAGGGTCTGCGCAAGGCCTTCCGCAACATCCCCGGCATTGAGACCATCAACGTGGACAAGCTCAATCTGCTGAAGCTGGCCCCCGGCGGTCATGTCGGTCGCTTTGTCATCTGGACCGAGTCGGCGTTCGCCCGCCTGAACGATCTGTTCGGCACCTGGAAGAAGCCATCCACCTTGAAGAAGGGCTACAACCTGCCCCAGCCCAAGATGGCCAACACCGATCTGTCGCGTCTGCTCAAGTCTGAGGAGATCCGCAAGGTGTTGCGCGATCCCCGCAAGCGTGTGTTCCGCAGCGTGCGCCGCCTCAACCCCCTGACCAACGTGCGCCAGCTGGTCAAGCTGAACCCGTACGCCGAGGTCCTGAAGCGTCGTGCCGCCCTCGCCGCCGAGAAGCGCACCGTCGCCAAGGTGCTGGCCAAGGCCAAGAAGCAGAACGTCGAGCTGGCCAAGTCGCACTTCGCCAACGTGGCCACCAAGGCCGCGGCCAACCGCGCCAAGCTCCTGGCCGCCCGCAAGAAGAAGGTCGCCCCCAAGAAGCCAGCGGCCAAGAAGTAAACTTACTCTTTCCCCCGAGTAGAGCTGACACACACTTTTATATTATAATAAACCACAAACGTTGTATGAATTTTATTCATAATACATATAATAGAGTGCGACAGTAATGCTCATTAAACTCTTAGTTTTAGGCACATTTAGAATATGGCTCTCTTTTTGATCGTCTCCCCGAGCGATCCACTATCACTCGAGTTGCTCCCGCTGATAACAGCAGATGTGGTGGCTGTCGCTTTTGTTATCTTCGTTCTGCCGCCGATCGTGGTCTTCGTACGGGTTCGCCGTACATACATATGTTTATTGTCACACGTTAATTGGCATTTAATTAAACGTGGAGCGTCGCCGTCGCTGTTATTCCACTGTGGACGCTCGAGTCGCGAGGTTCTACGAATCGCGAATAAACCGCATCTCCACTGCGCGTCGTATAAAAAATTAAAAAACAAAGACAGCGCAAGAATAAAGGATATATTTGATCCAATTAACTGATGTAATTTCGCGACCAGTACTTGCAGTAAACCGGTTTTTGAACCAAGTACAATTTTTAACCACTTTTTCATGGGCTTCGCTTGCCGAAAAAGTGTAGATGCTATCTGCGCGCAAATCTCAAACCTCGGATCATACGATATTTTCTATGTGCGGGTCGCGACCGATGTCTGGTTATATTGAGTAGAACGCAATAATATATAGCCACCACCGATCGGCCAGAGAGGAGAGAGCGAGAGCGACGGCTATCAGCATCTGAAAGAGAGAAGGCTGGAGCGTTTTTGATGCGCTGCCGTCTCCATTTTTCATATTTTTTTCTCCGTTCGGCTTTGCAATAGTACTACTAGTCGCTGCCACTAAAAGGGTCGCTCTGTTCGCGTTTAAGCATCAGGGTCGAATAGACGATTTGGAGAGCACTTCCGATCACTTGCCCGCCGGCTGATGCCGGAGCATCATTCAGCACCAGTACCTACTACCTAGTACCCAGTCCAACATAATCGCCAAGCCATGTTGACGACCGTCCTGAACTTTGCACAGCGCGTCGCCGAGATTTCTTTGCTCGGCGGCATCGAGATTGCATCAGTTGCCCTTATTGTCTACTATATATTCGCCAAGACGAGGTGAGTACAAATGGGCGTAGATGGAAGCCAAATAAATCTCGCCTTGCGGGCACCCATAAACCGAGTGTAGCATATCATGTATAGTATAAGTATGCCTCCCCCAACCTCCAAGTTCGAGTAACGCCGCCGAGGAAGAAGAGCCGTTATTTTTAGACGCGCACTCGCAAGTTATCCAATGCATTCTAAATGAGCCACAGTGGTACTTCCCCAAGTCGAAAGTACCAAGCTTTGAATCGCGCAAAAGTTGCACCACTTTTTAATCGGGGTTATAATACGTAAGTGTTGCCAAAATCGGTCAGCAGATGTGGATTATTTGTTATCTTTGTTTGTTTCACTTTTTATGATCAAGATTACTTTTCTAGTACAAGAAAGGATAGATCAATTAGGCATGTCTTATTCTATTGAGCTTTCTTTTTGCGACTCCAAGTTTGATTAAATTATATTTTATATTAAAATTATAAACAGTGATCACACAGAAATATATGTATGTTTAATTATGAAGACTAATTGACTACCACATGTTGTTTTTCCTTACTTATGATCCCGATTATAACAGTGATAATAAATGTTTTAAAAATAGTTCGATTAAATGCGTTTTTACTTATTTTGAGTGTTTTTATCTCCAGTTTCAATCAGTTAAATAAATATATCAAGACACGATAAGATTAAAGGTTATTTTGATAACCATCTACTCTTTTTTCTCATTTCTGACAGTGAACAAAAATTGAAATATTAGAAAAAACGTAAAACTACCATAAAACTTGAGAATAAAAGTTGAAATGTCATTCATTATAACACAAATAAAACTTAAATATAGAAAAAACATTTGAAGATTTTAGATTTTACTTCACTGTGTAGGTACTATACATCATCCAAAAGATAACCATTTTCCACGGCAGTGAGTCGAACATTTTAGATAGGTCCGACTGTAGTTATGCTTTGTTTTGTTGTCGATCGCACAGGTGGTTGCTCCATTGGCCATGACTCACAATAGCCCTTTGTCCACTTATGCACTTGGACCTTTGTGGAATGTAAATTGGTAGATTTCCGCTTATCATCCACGTGCTAACTTACACTGGGAGGCTGCCTTGAGGTCATCGGTTCAGGTTCAGTGACGTCAATAGTGTTTTTGTTTACCCTAGCAATAATACTTTCTACCGCACTCCCACCCACCCAACAAGTGCTCCCTTTGCAAGGCGCAATTTCTGATGGTGCACTCAGAGATAACCACTAATGGCCCCACCCACCCATTTCGCCCGCAAATCATTCTTGGCAACAATTATCGGTACGATTGCCCCTGTTAAATTTGCACCTAAATATCTGATTAAGATTTCCCACTTGCTATTTCCGTAATCTCCCTGGATTTCGACCACTTTGGGGCTACAAAGAAAGCGTGGTTCTCATCTCGTATCGGTCGGTCATTAAAATACATATATGGCCTAGACCTCTAAATAACACGTTCAATCCCACAAGAAGAATACAAGAAGAATACAAGTTTCAAGTGCCTGAAACAGCGAAACTTTTCCACTGCTCGCGATGATTGCTCAATCCACTCTAAGATTAGTATACAGATTGCTTGTATTGACTTAAAATTGATTAAATAATATTGATGATCTCTATTAAAATCTCCCTTCTTAATTTTTGGTAGTAGGATATCGGATGATGCTTAACTAACTTTATTTTAAGATTTAAGGCGATTCTTTAAGAAATGCTGATAGAGCAGCTTACACCTCTACTTGTTATTCATAAGTTTTTAAAAATAGCATTTCGTTAGAGTTCACGATTCTCTATAGCTTAGCAATATAGATTAGTTGAATTGACATATGTATATTTAATCCTAAAATTTAATGATCTAGGTTGTTCTACTAAATATTCTCAAAGTTAATCAATCCATTTCACGTTAAAGCTTAAACATATTAAAGTTGTATTTCATTGTAGATTAATATCTACCAACGTTTTTTAATTTAAATTTAAAAAAACATGAGAAAATGTTATACCCTCACCCAAAATACACAATATAAAGTGATTAATTATGAGAATCCGTAACTTTTTTCATAAAGGGGGTCACTTTCTTAAACGACGAGATTAGACCCAAGCCAATGAGAAAATATCGAATATTTTTCAGTACAAATTAAATTTTAGATTTAATTTCAAATCCCTAGTACAAAGAAAATATATAAATAAATAATGATTAATTATGAAACTGTTTAATTTTTCTGTCAACGGTTTTTTGCGCGATCCCCCATCTATAATAAAATATAGAAATGTAATTAAATATGAAAATCCTTAACACTTACCGAAATTAAAGAAAACTGAATTTGTTCTAAAACTATTCTTCGCAATTTTCTCATTGACGGGAATCCTACGGGAGAAACATTAAACAGTTTAATATGTTTTGTGGAAAGGATTTTAAATGATTAAATATGGAACTCCTCAATATCCTCGCTGAAGCTTTTCTTGCGCGGATTGCATATCGCCGGAAAATCTGTATCCGAGTCCAAAAAGGATACGTCATCCGACTGGCTGTTGTCCGTTGTGCTAATGGAGGGTGTCCGTGGCCGTACGCCACGACGCCTCTGTTTGCTTTGGGGCTTTTGGAAGTCCCTGGTTTGGGATTGATCATCCATGCTGCGCCGCCTAGTTTTCTGAACCGCTTCCTCGTGGTAGGAGATGTAAGCGCGCAGCTCGTCGATCCGCTTCTTCTCCATTTCGATCTGCTGGTTAATCTGTGCCTCCATTTTGCAGAAGCCCTCCAGTCGGAGTTTGTTCTTCTCGTGCTCCTGCATCTGTCGGTAGAATCCCAGGTTGTCCGATGCTCGCTGGTCGGTCTGAAACTTGCTGATCTTGCGGTAGAGCCCCAGGAATTGAAGAGGATCCTCGAAGTAGCAGGCCACGCCACGGGGCAAATTCCCGTTGATGGGTATCGAATGAAGCTCCTGCTTGCAAATTGGACATTTTTTTTCTGACGAGGATTCTGTCACACAAGTCTTGCAAATTACGTGCTGGCATCTCGTCATGTTGAAGACCATCGTCGGATCTTTACTGCGGTGACAAAAGCACTTGTTGCAATGCATTCGAAACATAATTAAGCAATATTGTTTTCCTAGCAAATTTAAAGTTTATGCACATTAAACAGCAGTGTTTTAGCGTCTGATAAATCTAACGGATCTTATCCTTAGTGGTCTGGCCACTCTGGTTTTACTACTTTAAACACTCTTAACAGTGAACATAAAAACAGAAAAGGGTTGAGTCACTGTTTAGTGTTAAATATCATATGGTTACGATTTCCTAAACAAAAAACTTAAGCGTTAAATAAGCTTCCAATTTATAAATTTAGTGGAATTTTATGAAAACCATAAAACTTTTACATATTTTCCGTTTGCAAGTTGTCAAATCAATAATGGGTTTCGTTACAAAATAATTCAGCATAAAGAAACCATTGTGGAATTTAAAAAACTAAATAGAAAGAGAACGTGCTTTTAAAGCAATTCCAGAACGAACGCTGATGTAATGATTTTTTGTTGAAAAAATTAAACAGATAAATATGTTAAATATGGTTGTTGGAGTATTTAAGTTAAACTAAGAACTACAATTTAATAAATATGTCATTTACATACAATTTACATACGGTATATAAACTCAAAACCACTTAAAATATCATTACTAAAATAGCAGTTCAAATTCAAAAAAACAAATAAACTTTGTTTATGTTTTTTTAAGTAATGTTCGGGAAAAGCCAAATGATTTAGCCTGTGCACATGTCAGCTGATTTTCGAGCAATGATGATGACTCCGCCATACAAAGCACGCTCAAAGTTCATTTCTGTGCCATATTTTATGAGCAACTAAACACTTATCAGTAGCAACCACTACTTTAAAACCTACACCGTTTTTTATATAAAAATATATAAATACATTTGCCGATTAATTCGCTGGGCTATTGAACTCTTGCGAAGTTGGACTGTATACCTCTTAAGTGGTCAAATTTTAATCGAAGAGGTGTTGTATTTTAAATTGCGTGCTCCTGATTTGAGCACCACCCACGACAGTCGTACTGCATTTTATTGATACTGATTGATTGTAACGCGTTTCCAATCTGATTCCGATTGCAGGGCACCCGTTATCATCGCTGGCCTGTTTCCCAACCTGAATCTGAGCTACCGGACGAGCTACCTCAGCAAGATCAACAGCATTCGCAGCGATCTCCTGGTCACTTTGCGATCATCCAATGTAAGTTTCCCGGCCTATCAGGCACTCATCGTCTCCATTAACGTTAACCCAATCGACAATATACAAACATAGTACACGCTCTGACGCAATTGCAGGGAGTGTCTAGTATAGCGATAAGAAAATATTTCCACTCAATGAATTGTGAATCTGCGATTGCAATTCTGTCAAAGTCCCCAAAGTGGTTCATGTATTTTTTAAAGATCTAAATCGTTGAGAAGTTTTATGTTTTGCAATTAAAAACTCTTTGATACTCTTCAAGTTTAAAGTATTTATTTTTATTCAAGTCACAAAAAGAGCTCAAAAAGACGACTAAAATATTTTCAAAAATCATAATCTTTGAAAAATAAGTGACCATAATTAAATTTGAATTTCCGCGGCGTTGCCACCTCGTCCTGCCAATCGATAACAGTCCTGAAAGCTAACAGGATCTATCGGCCGCCGATTTTCTGCGAAAAAAGCCGGGCGCATGTAGCAAATGCGAAAATTCTGAATCTAATATAGTTTAAAGTGCGAAGAATAGTGAAATCTCAAAGGTAAAATGACGCTGAAGGAGTTTCATGCTCGCGGCTGGTTCGAGGTATTTTTTGGATTTGTCCACATATTGTCTATATGTATGCCAGTTGCATCACAATCAAAGATTCTTTATGATCGTTTCTTTGCAGGACCCCAAGACGCAGAATTCCGTCGCCCATGGCATCGGGACGCAGAACATGTTGGAGCTGACCCCGCAGTCCGGTCAGAAGCCCTTCAAAAAGCTCCTCGACTGGGGCGTGCTCTTTCCATATGTTGCTCAGGTGGTGCGCAGCGAGAAGTTCGAGTACCGACAGGTTGGTGACCTTCATTAACATCTTATAACCCGGCATAACCTTCACCTGTATCCCCCAGGTCACCGAGATCGTGCACAACGATGTTGTGCTGAAGCACGCTATTAAACAGGCCGCCGAGCAGTCGCTCAGGGAGCAGCGGTATGCCAAAAATGGCCATCGACTGCTCACGCGCAGCGCCAGTGGGGATCAAGAGGGACAGGAGGAGGAGGACGAGAAAGTGGGCATATCCTACCAGAACATTCTGCGCAAGCAGGAGCAGCGCGCCATCAGCATTCTAAAGGACATGGGCTCCACCCTAAACAACGGCCTGCTGGCCTTCACCTCCTGGATTCTGTACAAATTGCTTCCATGCTTTCTCTCCGGCGTCGTGACCAACACCAAGCAGATCGAGATGCTCAAGACAGCCACAGAGCGATCGCCAGGAACCCCGTTGATCTTTGTGCCGCTGCATCGCAGCCATTTGGACTACATCATGGTCACGTGGATACTAACCAACAACGATATACGAAGTCCGCTGGTGGCCGCCGGGAATAATCTGCAAATACCCGTTTTTGGAGGACTTTTGCGTGGTCTTGGCGCGTTCTTTATCAAGCGCAAGATTGATCCAGTGGAGGGCAAGAAGGATGTGCTGTATAGGGCTGCTCTACACTTGTATCTTACCCACGCCTTAAAGCAGGGCCACAATGTGGAGTTCTTTATCGAGGGCGGACGAACGCGCACCGGAAAGCCGTGCATGCCAAAGGGCGGCATCCTCTCAGTGATTGTAAACGCCTTTATGGACGGCAGCATTCCGGACGCCCTGCTGGTGCCCGTCTCCGTGAACTACGAGCGACTCGTCGACGGAAATTTTGTGCGCGAGCAGAAGGGTGAGAAAAAGATACCCGAGTCCTTCAGCAAGGCCATTTCTGGTATTTGGAAGGCGCTTAAATCGAACTACGGCCTAATGCGCATCGATTTCAACGAACCGTACTCGATACGGGAGCTGGTCAACTCGTACAACAAGATAGCCCGAGAGGATGGCAACATTGCCAAGGTCTACAAGCCAGCTGCCAGGTAGGCTGTAGAAAATGATTTATGATTGGTGTTCAAAGGTCTGGCATAGGGTGTTAAATTCTGAGCATTTTGGGTTTTCTGATTGTTTCTTTAGAATATCCTTATCTATGTATATCACATCCACACTTTAAATATCTTCCAAATGCCAGTTATTCGACTCCTTGTACTCTCGCACACTTACTTCAAGATTATAGCACAATACCCAACTCAAAGCTAGGTCTAAAAGATGTTCACAATTCTTTAATTTGGGTTCATATCATTACTTTAAGAATTATGCATGATCTGCCAAGACCGCAATTAGCATTATTTTATTATCTTCCTTTACTAAGCGCATGTTTATCTTAGGACATTGCAGCACAATCAGTCCACTTCCTCGCTGTACGGCACCGATGTTGTGTGCGAGGAACATCGCAATCTCATCGAAAGCATCTCGCGCCAGGTGGTCTTTGACTGCGCGGCAGCCACCTCTGTGATGTCCACCAATGCACTGGCCTTTTTGCTACTCACCCGATTTAGAAACGGCGCCGAAGAACAAATTCTGGCCGAGGCCCTGGATGACTTGCGAAACTCGTTATCCGGCTGCAAGGACATTGGTTTTTCCGGGGAATCGTCACATATCCTGTCATATGCGTGTGATTTACTCGGTTCAGGTACCTAAACAGCCTGTTTTTTGGTACAATTTTGTTCTAATTTTATTTAAATTGTTTAGGTCTTGTAACTCGCACTCGGGATGAGAATGGGCGTTTGGTGATTAGGGCTGTGAATTCAGTAGAAAGTTTTATTGAGCTGGCCTACTACTCCAACATGCTGACCCCGCACTTTGCACTCAGTTCGATACTGTTGGCCACTTTCCACTCCCTGCTCCCAGAAACGGAGAACAAAAATGAGGCTGGTGTATCGCGGAAAAAGCTGATAGAGACCGCCCTGGAGAACTGTCAGATCTATCGCTACGAGTTCATACTAAACAAACCGACTCAATTACTGGAGAGTTTATTATACAAACAGTTGGACGACCTCTTGATTAGTGGTTGCGTTCGCTCAAAAACGGTAGCGTATATAAATTATATTCACTTTATTCCCAGTAAATTATAAATTGATTTTTATACAAAAGGTGGACGATGATTTGCCAAACGCAGCGGAAAGCAGGCGCTTGGCCCACAGCCTGGCTGACTGTCTTGATGAAGACGACGACTACCTCCACGTGCGCAACGGCGAAGTAGATGAGCCCAAGTTGTTGTTCGCCAGCGAAACCCTGCAGCAGCAGCGCTACATCTGCGAGGTGCTGGCGCCCTTCGCCTGGACGTATGTGACGGTTGCGCAATCCCTGCAGATACTTCACCGAAACTCAATGCTGGAGTCGGAATTTATTTGCTTTGTGATCAACGATTTGAGCAGCAAAGTCAAGCGCGGCAGCTGCAACTATGGTAAAAAAAAACGATCTAATGACCATCCCCTACATTTGGTTTTATTATCTTTCTGTTTCATTTTTAGCTGAAAGCATATCAACGGACTCCGTGCGCAACTGCCTGAAACTGTTGGAGAAATGGTCTGTGATCGAGGTGTGCAACCAGCAAGGCATGCGCCTGATCTCACTCAACACGCTCTACGAGATGTCTCGGGAGTCGCTCAACACAATTGTCAAGAAGATTGACGCCATAGTACCAAAATTCAATTCTGGTTACTTTAACGTAACGCCTTAACCAAAGGGGCTCGCTTTATTTTTGGCACTCACTCTTTTTTTATCCTTGTACAGTGCATATCCACATAGATTTAAAGTGCGTACTCCTAGATCTTAGACTTAGATATGTCTAGTTTTATAGTCATACGAGTTTATATATGCCAAAGTGCTAGCTTTACTGTAACTAAGCGACAAACAGTGAAATATGAACAAATTTCTAATGTATAATTTAAACAACATTTTCTATGTGCGGCCTGAGCGCGGCAAGACAAACGAAAAACAATACAATATATATCATCTATACTGAACTGATTGATTAAACTTTATAATTTTATAATAAAGGCAAATAGAACGGCTTACAAAATAATTTTTTCACTTTATTTTCATAACATCGGTCTAGGGCGCATATGGTGGACAAATTGTCTACTAAACATAATGGTGAATTTTCGGAAATAAATACATGTGCAAGCTAAAAATAATTATACATAATACAACAATAATGTAATGTTTAAAAAAAGATTGATTGAGCGATTATTGCTTTTATCTAATCGGTATTCATTACTCTTTCTTAATCTGTTCTATTGGCTCATCGTCGGCACTAATGTGTTTAACCTTGGGAGCCTTTTTAACTTTCTTGCCAGCCGCAATGTGGATGCGAACAGCGGAACTTTTTAAACGACGCAACTGCTTCAGTTTGGCACTGTTCTTTCCCTTGCTTGTCTGTGGGTTTGTTTCCTAAAAATCGGATTTAAAATAATATATTTAAGGCCAATTAAAAATAAGATATTTGTTGACATGCTCACCTTGAGTGTGCCGTCCCTGAGCTTGCCACCGATCTCGCCGGAACAACGAGTTGCTCCGCAGAAACAGACCTTTTTGCTGTCGTTCATTAGATCATCCCACAAGTAATTAAAGGTGAGCTCAGTGTTCTGAAAAGAAAAATGTTTGAATAAATGTTAATAAATTAATCTCTATAAATATCTCTAAAAAGCAAAATGGAGGTCCTAATTAATGTTATCATAAATTTTAAAAAATTAATTTTTTAACATACCACAGGAATGTCCTTGATGGCAAATAGACCAACTCGATGGATGCAGTTGACAGTCCACTTCTGGGTAGCGCAGTTCGGCTCACACGAATGATTCATGAACCGTGCCAAGTTACCCTTTGGTCCCGCATCTATTATAAAGTCCTTCTCTACGCCTAAGAAGTAGTAGTTTTCGTCCCTATCACGCTGCTTCTGCTCCATGCGCTGCTGGAACTCGGCATGGTTAATCACCTCGCCCACATACTCGATGACGAAATCACCCTCGGCAATGGGCTCTCGGTTAACGAGTCCGAATCCCCGTTCGTTCATGTAAACCACCTCCAGACGTGGCGATTTGCGCAACTCAAACATCTGATTCTCGCAGCGATCGCCAGCCCGGCAATATTCCGGATTGCATTCGTTAAAAAGCATGCGATTGAGGCAGCCCGAATCTGGACCGCAGGGATGCTCGTCGTTCGGCTGGCAGTCACAGGCACTTAAATCCTCTAGATTCTGGGTGAATCGTACCGGCGGCACCGCCTTGTTTGCCTTGATTCTAACATATGGCGGCGGATGAAGCTTGGCGCCGTTTTGGCGTCTGATGGCCTGCTCCTGACGCCTTGCTTTGATAATCTTCAGGAACCGCGACGCCTCCTCCACGCCGGTAGTGTAGTTTCTGAACAGCTGCGACTTGGTTTTGTGGCTATCGCCAGTGTCCCCCTCAATGTAGAGGTAAACGCGACGCCTCGAAATCCAGCCATGGTCGTGGGTGCCAAAGAATCGCACGACAAAGTCATTCTCGCCATGGGCTTTCTTTAGGATGTTGCTGGGTATCTCGGTGGGCGGCAGTATAATGGCCGGCCACCATCGGAAGTTGTTGAACTTAGCCCACACGATCTCACCGTACAATGGTAATCGTCCGCTCTCGCATTCCTCGCAGATGTAGCTCTCGTTCTTCTTGATTGGAATATTTCGGCAGTGGGCGTGCACAGCAATTGGGCACGTTTCGCAGCAGACCAGTTCGCCGCCCTTTACGCAAATGTAGCACCACAGCACATTCACGTGCGCATCCGCCTTGGCAATGTTGTGACGTGGACAAATTATATGCGTAGCGTTTAGCATTTGTGTGCCTGCTGGAATGCAATGGGAGTCCTGATGATAGGTGGCCGGGCAGCGAACGCACTTTGCCAGCTTGGAGCTACCCAGCTGCTGGAACTTGCCGCTGGGATCGTCAGAAACGCAAGTGTGGCACACATGCCGCGGGCAACGGGCCGAGCTTTTGCTGCTATTTGCTTGAGGCCAATATTTGCAGCAGCCTATGTGGAACTGCTTGCCACACAGTGGCTGACTGCAGGTCATTAGCTTATCTTCGGTTGCAGTCGTTAAGGGTTCCTCTTCCTTGATCGGGGAGCCTAGTACAGCATTAGAAGGCGACTCAACCTGGTGGCAGATGACACAGCCTTCCGGTTCGCCGATATTGCACTCGTGGCAAACCAATTCAGTGCCGCTGGCATCCACCTTGACATCGGCTGTTACGTGGTCCTCATCGGGACTCGGCGACTTGGATGTGGGTGAGATAACAGTGGTCTTACGACTGCCGAACTTGGGCATAGGAGCTCCCGTCTCCTTGCGTTCTAGGCAGTCGGCATGCAACCAGTTGCTGCAATTGCGCGAACAGCGCTGCAGATCAGAGCCCGCCTGGTAGCAGTATTTGCACACCGGCTCGCGGTGAAGCCCACGGAAGAGGTACTTGCTGTCCAGCTGCAAGATGTCCTCGACCACCTCATCGATGGGCCGGTTAAAGGGCTTCTTGGGCTTTGGCGCCTCTGAAAGACGACGTTCTGGCTCTGAAAGAGCGGGCGTTGGACTAGGTGCTACAACCGGAGTCATGCTGCGTCGAATCATCATGGTTTTCAGGCGATTCGAGAGACGTTTGATTGTGCCCACACCACGGCCGCGCTCCACCACCGATGAGCCCAACGGCTGCTCCACCTCGCCACTGGCCAAATCACGTTCGAGGTCGCGCAACTGGATCTGCTTCAGGGACCAGATATTGGTGACCACGGCGAGAAGAACCTTTTCCACTTTTTCCTCGGACCGGTGCACCATCACATATTCCTTTATGGCAGCAAACAGTTGCTCGAATTCGGGGTTCTCGTAAAGGGAAGAGCTCTCTGGCGTAAGGTGTTTTTCCAAGCTGGTTTCTGTCTGAGAGGGTGTCACTGTCATGCCAGTATCCGCCTCGGTGCCACCGCTTAACTTACGCCGCTTGGCCCGCTTCTCGTTTTTGCTCTTCACGGGCGAGAAAGCCGGACTGAAGGGCGACTCTGAACGCTCCCGCTTCACGGCCAGCAATTGGGTGATTGGCTTGTTGTGCAGATTGTCCGTGGAGTCGTACAGACTGCTGCCGACGTCTGAAGTGTCCTGCATCATAGACTTGGTTCGTTTGCGCTTTTGTTTGTTAAGAGTGCTGAAAAAGGAAATGCGATACCATTTAATCTTTCATATTTTGGTCTTCAGTAAAAATCGGAGCTGGCAATCTGGTTAACTTACATGACGCTTTCGTAGATCTGGTAGAACTTTTCGATGCGATCGCAGTAAGGGATCTCGGTCATGATCTGAGCCTCTTCGATGGCCTGGCGCCAAATGACGACCTTGTTCCGCTTGGGAATCATCTGACGGTGTTTGGCGCTCTTCGGTCCGTGCTTGATGCGCACTTCTTCGCGCTGCTCTTCGAAGGCCTTGAGTCCGGCGAATGTCAGCAGATTCTCCGGCTTGATCCAATTCCGACGTCCGTTGTCAGCAAAGAAGCGCACGTGCACCTGGATGGGCACCGTGGCATTATCCAGGGATGAGCGCTGCGGATGACTCGGCATGTTGCCCACAATCTGGCCAAACGGATCGGGACACACCATACATGGCCAGAAGCAGTACGAGAAGACCTTGCCCCAGAACAGATCCCCCACTTGGTAAGTGGGCCAACCGGGATCAGTGACTATAGAGAGGCCTTTGGCACTATCTATGCTCACAGAGGAGGGGGATTTGACTGAGGCACCGAGTGCACTGGAACTCAAGTCGGGCGGAGATTTCACGTTCACTTCTGTAGAGGCGGACAATGGCAGGGCGAAGGTCAGTTGCTCAGGACTGTTGTCCAAGTCTTGAGGTTCTTCACTAAGAACTCTGGGAGTGCTTTCTGCTGGTTTTATATCTATTTCCATGCTGAGATCCTCCTCATGCTTTATAGGAACCTCAATGGCCTCTTCATTATCAGCCTCAGTCTCAGATTTAATGGAGATCGTAGAAGTTTCAGTGTCAAGTTTTAAGGATTCTTCCGTCACGGAGGCTTTCCCATCGTTTGGCTCTATTTTTATGGCCTTCTCTTCCAGAGTCTCTGCTTCGTTGTCTATGGACACCTTAGATTTGGATGTGCGCTTCATTTTGCGCTTGAGCTGCTTGCGAACGGATGGGCGGATGGCCAGGTCCTCGGCGTCCGCCTCGAAGCCCGTGCTGTTGGGTGAACTAGCGCCATTCTTGATCAACAGCTTCTCGATGGGGCTCATGTAGTTCTTGGTGTTGGTGCTGAGCAGCTGGCTGCTACCCCCTACTCCTCCCCCGGTGGTCTTTGGTGAAGCATTGTCGCGATACAGGGTCTCGCAGGTACTACTGCTGTTATTCAGAGACACAGCTTGGTTGACGCGTCGCCTTGTGGTGCGTATCGTATCATCGGAATCGGAAAGTGGCGTGGGCGAGTTGGCGTTGGCATAGCCAATGTATTTGGGGCTCAGCGCCGACTGCAAGTTAATTAGATCGCGTTTCCCTATAGCGGCGCAGACAATCACACACACAAAAAGCAGAGAAATTAGCATATGGACGGCAAAGGGCGGGGTATCTTGCGCCATTGTTATACTCACTGTTCACCACGGGCAGTCGCTGCTGCTTTTGGTTTGGCGTCTGTCGTTGGTTCTCCACTTCCGCATCGGACTCCTCCGCCGCTGCTGCCCCCTCGGCGTCCTGACCGGGATTCGCTTTCACCATTCGGCGCATTGCTGTGCTGTTGACGGCGTCCTTTGCGACTTCGCCATAGTCGCCATCGATGGCCACCGACCCGTCGTTTCCCGCAGCCACTTCATCAGCGGCTAGGTGAGCGGACGCGGAGTCACACAACACATTGCTCTGGGCACCCTCGCCCTCAATCTCGGAGTGCGAAGTCGTGCTCAGTTTCATTCTGCGGTCCAGCTCAATTGCGCTATTATTAACCAAACAACTAGCAACAATTTCCAAGAACTCAGCGCTTCGCGTGCGCCAAAAATTCATTTGCAACCATGGGCATCGCGGGACTTATCGATAACGCGGTAGATATATCGATATAATTTGATTTACGCTCTAATTTGGCTGCAGCTCCGTACATGCATTAGTGCCATGCACTGGGGAAAAGGAAACAAATCGCTAATTTCTTCTCTAAAATCGCTAGAGCAAAATTGTACTGTTCAACGAATGCATTTTTACAGTGATCAATTTATACTTATTAAAGGGAAACTCCTCCAGGATATTTAAAAAATTCAATACCTAGTTGAGTAAAACCATAAATGATTTACTACACCTTAAATTATAAAACGCTTAGGTGTACAGCAGTTACATATATCGAGATTTAAGAAGTAACTTTATAATTTTGTTTGAGTTTGAACATCGATTAGAAGATAATTAGCCGAATATTTCCAGTGAGGCAGTCTCCTGAAATTAACGGTATTAAATAATCGTAATTTTCGAATAGATAAAGCTGATCTGCCATCACTGATCGAGAGGGCTGTTTGTAGCTATTTTCGTGCATGAAAAATCTCCCTTAAACCAGGACAAGACTTTCTCCGCCAATGCTGCCAACGTAGTGTCTTTTAACAACAGGGCTGCGAATTGATCGTCCTCACGAACGCCTCACGAGCCATTCCAAGGCCCAACTCACGACGCACGCCCACCTCTAGCGTAAACATATGTACATTTCTGTGTAAACGCATGTAAAGCAATCGCAACGTTTATCCTGGATTTCCACGGCACTCACGGGTGTCGCGGCAACGAAAACCACACGAATCCCACGGGCAACGCACCATGGACGACTTTATAAAGACGCTAATTGCCGAGGTCAAGTCGCAGGGCGTCTTCGATGAATTCCGCTTTAATTGCTGCCTGGCGGACGTGGACACGAAGCCTGCTTACCAGAATGTGCGCACCCGGGTGGAGACGGCGGTCAATGATTTCCTGGCCAAGCAGCACTGGACGCCAGAGACCAACAAGGTCCAGCTGCGAGAGAGGCTGCGCAAGCACCTCCTTGAGTGAGTACACTTCTGGCGGGGATAAGGTAACGTAATCATCTCGGTCATTCCAGCACCGACGTCCTGAACAAAGGAGTGGACCAAATCGTGGACCAAGTGGTCAACCCCAAGGTTGCCACCATATTCGAGCCAAAGATCGAGAGCATCGTCTACAAGTACCTGGGCATCACACCCCCGCCGCCGCCGCCAGCGAGATCCACCCTGCTGCCGGCTCCGCCTTTGCCGCCATTTGCTGGCCACATGAACGGCAGCAGCCTGCTCAACGTGGAGACCACCGCCGGCCTCCTGCCCACCGACCTGGAGCAGATCAGTCCGGACTCAGACCGGGGCACCGTCAAGTCGGAGGCGAAGGATGACGAACTGCCGCCCGGCGTGGACGAAGAGGACACATCGCCATCGTACGAGCCTCTCAGCGAAGAAAAACAACTTGCCAGCAAGGAGGATTTAAACAACGGGTCGCTGAACAACTCTGATTCGATCAACGGCGTTTCGCAGGCGTCGCAGCTCTCGCAGGTTTCCAGCGACAGTCGCCTGACCATCGCCTCCTCCACGGAATCAGTGGGCGATGCCCAGCAGGCAACGGCAGCCCACAACAGCGGGGATCCAGCCAACATTTCCGAGGAGGCCCAGATGCCAAAGTTCAACGAAAACTCCAGTGATACGAGTGCTGGAGCAGGGGACAACGGCAGTCGCCAACTGCACTTCGATATTAAGCAGGATGCCATTACCTTCGAAGGTGGGTTTGCCAATCTCCAAAAATTTGTTTGATTAATTGATAAATTGATTTCATGTGCAGGTACTGAGCGGAAGAACTCTGTGTCGAAGGACACAAACGGTGGCCCACAGATTCTATCTATTGAAGATGCCATTATGTCGGAGGTTAAGGCCAACATAGACGATGCTAATAATGCCAGCATTGAGTCTATAGTTGAACCGGAATTAATAATACCGCCAACTCCAGCTCTGCCGACAGTTGAGCCTCCTCCTCCTCCGGCCCCACCAAAAATTGAGCCTCCTCCTCCTCCAGCCCCACCAAAAGTTGAGCCTCCTCCTGCGCCCCAACCACCAGCACCACCTAAAGATGATCCACCTTCTCCGCCAGCGCCACCAAAAGTTGAACTTCCTCCAACGCCACAACCGGCAGAGAGCAGTAATGGATTCTTTTCGGAGGCACCCAAGGATGTTGGGAATACAAATACAAATGTACAGTCCGATGCGGTGGATGCGGAGGTATTCGTAAACAAAGAAGCCAAATCCACAACGACAGCCGAAATCAAGGATGATAAACCTCTAATTCTCGCCCCGCCAGAAGATGTGGAAACGTCTAAGGAACCGAGTAAACCCATGGCATCGCCCATTTCTGTATTGTCGCAATCCAAGAGCCATTCAAAGTCCAAGGACAGAGAGAGGGAGCGCCGACATCGCAGCCACTCAGATGATAAGCAGCGCCGCAAGAGCAGCGACCGGGATCGTGATCGTGACCGTGAGCGTAGTCGGGATAAATCTCACAACAAACATTCCTCGAGTTCCAGCTCGAAGCACTCCTCATCGCACTCCTCAAGCTCGAAACATAGAAGCAGTAGCTCCAGGAACGACAAAAGCTCAAGCTCATCTAGCCGAAGCAATCGCGATTCGTCCTCATCAAAACACTCGGCCACTTCATCTTCATCTCGCCACGAGTCCTCGTCACACAAAAAACACAAGTCCAGTTCATCTTCATCACGATCGGATCGGGACAAAGACAAGGATAAGGGAAGGGACAAGGACAAGGACAAGGAAAAGGAGAGCCAAAGACGCAGCCACCACAGCAGCAGCAGCTCCTCATCGTCGTCTAAAAAAAAGGAACACGATAGAGGACGCGATCGTGACCGCAACAAATCAAACTCATCCGGCAGTGGGAAGACTAAAGCGATCCAGGATGATCACAACGAGAGCAAGTCGAAACTTAATCAGCGACGGAACTCCGACTCAAATGATGAGGGCAAGCCGCCAAGCTCTGGTGGTCCGGCAAAGATATCCCAGTCCGAGATTGCGCAAGTTCCGGAAAAAGCTGAAGCGCCGGTAGAGAATGGCAGCAACACGAATGGAAACTCCAATGGTGGCAGCAATGGTGAGTGCGACAGTGCTGCCAGTTCAAGCGGTGTTGTTATTGTCAGCGACATCCTCCAGCAATCGTCGACCAGTTTCATTGAACTGACTGCTGGTTCCCAGTCACAAAGGCAAGTGGAGACCAGTAAAGATGTGCCCGAGGATATTGACGGAAAAAAAAACAAAAGTCAGTCAGAGAAACCAGAATCGGAGCCAGATTCACCCGATGAAGAACCAAATGTAGAACCTCAAATAGCTGACAAAGCTGAATCCGTACCTGATTCCCCTGTCGAGGAAAACAAAGAAGACGATGGGTTGAAAATGGCATCAATGGAGAAACCACATGCTGAGAAGAGCATACCGGAGGCACCTTCTAAATCTGAACAAACCCTAGAGCCTGCTGACCCCAGCCAACTTGAGGATATAACGAAAGATGCCGAGAAGCTCGCCCCAGAAATTCCAAAATCAAGTGAACAAAGTGATAAATTAGTCGGCGACTTTGTAACCCACTTTGAGGAAAATACAGACGAGTTTAAGGCGCGCCTCCAGCTCATAAATCAATTGATCGAGGATCGTAATAATTTGCTCAACAGGCTGAGCGCGGACGGTTCACAGGACGAGGTAGTTGATGTACGTGCTCTGCGAAGGAGTATTTCCAAGCGAAGGCGGAGCAGCTTACAAGAGCAGCAGCAAGCGGTGCGGGAGTCCACACCGACGCGGCATTGTAGTCCGAGCAGCAGCACCTCCGGCAGTCCGGCGAAGAGGCTCAGGCGGGATGAACCTAAAGCGTCGCCCACGCCATCCGACGCCAGTATAAACTCCAAGGAAAACGAGGCTTTGGAGAAGCAGGAGCATGGTGCGTACTGTATCATAGCAAGTTATCAATTGGTCTGACAATCTGGTGAACCTGTGTTCCAAGTATCGCTTTATTGTTAACGCTTTTATTAGGATGGATCGATAATATCTTAAGAATCGTAGGATGCGGAAGATATTTTCAGAAAGAACAAACATTTTTGTTTGCTTTTTAAATCTAATCTATTTTTTTTTATGAAATCAGGTAATCTAAAATCCTTAATAAAGCAAATTGATCTCCATATATATATCTAATTCCGCTTCTACGATATTTCACAATACTAAAGTCAGCCCCAATCGATCCACCCTTCGTACTACATATCTCATGCTCATCCTTATCGTTATTTCTACCACCTCTATTTTCTCCTCCACATGCATCCACATAATTTGTAAATTAATATAGCTGTATGAAGCCTCCATTAGTCCTATCCAAATCTATGTGCTGGGTAAGCGGTTCCCGCAAGATTTCCTGTTATTTTGACCACTTTCTGTTCTTTATTCGATCGTTTCCGTGAATGCGACTGTTTAATGTGCTTGTTTATTCTGCAGACGCCCTGTCAGCCAGGCGACTCAGCAAGAAGCTTTGCCAGCAGCAGCGGTACACCAACGATGATCTCTACAAGCCCCGTCCAATCCTGTCACAGCGGTCTCGTCGCCGGGGCCTGGATTCAATCCTCTAGCTAACGAACGAACTGTTATCGGAAACAATAAAAGGCAATTGTTGTTAATGCATTTGACATAAAACAAGTTATCTTTTCTTTTATCCGTTTAATGGGCCTTTTCGCTTGCCAATGTTTTTGCTTCGTTTTCTTTTGAATTCTTTAACAATAAAATTGTAATTTTAAGGGCTGCACCTTACAGTTCAATAATCGTCGGTGTAGCATATCCATATATATATTATGCATATATATAAACAAAAATAACAGTGAACGTAATAATATGATGCATTATTGTATATTGTGGGAATTCCGGTTGTCCCTATCCCTGGCACTGGACTGCGATTGCTAGGCAAAGGGTTAAAAATATAGCACTGAGACGAAAGATAATGTGTGATGATTGCATAAAAACAATGCCGAGAGGATGGAAAAATCGTACAGCTTTTAGCAATCGCAATCGAGTGCAGAAAAAGAACAACAGACATAGCTAGGCTACTACTCTAAAATGGGGGGCTGGCTAGTTAGTATCGGGTGTAGATTGGGCAATCTGGGAGGGAGACGTAGTTCTGCGATTCGTTATGTTTTGTAACATCTCAGTTTGAAGATTTAAGTGTAATTTGATTACAAATTATTGAATTTTCTCCTCGCACGTTTTTGCTTTACATTTTTGCTCTCGATTACTTTACAACAATCAACATAAATATATGCATATATACTTTGAAATTTGTTTAAAAAAAAATATATATAAATGTAGTAAATCAAAGGTTGTAATACATAATAGTAGGTAATAGTATTTTACAAGAAGGTTCTCATTTCGAAATAACATAGATACAGTATTATCATTAGCATATACTTTTAACAAGAATTTCGCATTTTGCCTAAAACTGTTTTTGTGTGGTGTGTGTGGGGTTGGTGTAAGGTGTGTGTGTGTGGTTGGTGTATGGTGTGTGTGGAGTTTTGCGTGTTGTGTGTGAGAGCGAGAGTTTTGTGCAGAACAACAACTACGATTTAACCTCCGACTATGGAGTGATAAAACTCTCTCACCGACTCCTCGCAGAGTATTCATACAAGCAGCTGGGTTCGGGTGGGCTGAAAGTGGGCAGTGGCCAGGCGGTGGTCAGCGGAACGGCAGGCGTTTCGAACACCGTGTCGTCCACCTGCCCAAAGGCCTCCCAGCTTTCCCGATCCCTACCGCCAACTAATAGCTACGCTTAGGTTTAGCTGTCGCTGCTGCTGCAAACGTTTAGAACGCAGGCCCCGCTCGCGGCCACGCCCTCTGGCGCAGCCTACGTGCTGGAAAAGCCCCTTTCATAGGGACTCTTTACGTCCGTATGCCGCGTGTGCAGGTTTATTGTTGGCCCAGCGGGCCGCGTCGACAGCTCGCACACCGTCTTGATGGCACCGGCGGCGTTCACCGAGGTCGGGGCAGAGTGCAGGGTCGCCGCGGTATCCTTCTCCTTCTCCTTCACCGTCTCTCGATCCTGATCGCTCTGCTCCTCATCCGTGGTCCTGGGCAGCACGTAGTCCGCTTTCCGGGGCTCCGAGCGGCCCGTAATTGACGATTTGTACTGATCTGCGTCCATGCCGCACAGGTAGAATTTGAAGAACTCATACGTGGACCAGCAAATGGCCGTGGCGGGCATGGAGTACAGCACGCGCGCAGTCATGCCCCTGAAGAAGCCCAATGGACCAGCCATGAGGTAGATCTAAAAAGGTTAGAGGCCATTAGATCATAATTTATAAACTTGGTTTTATCTTAAAGAAAAAGTCACACCTTAATGGGCTATTAAACTTGAAAGATCATCTTATGCGATAATAAACGAAAACCTTTCGAGTTTAATATTTCTTTTATATATCATTTTCATAATTTTAAATTCTAGAGAAACAATATTCACCTTTCGACTGGCCTCGATCATGCCGCGCGTCAGTCCAGTCTCCTGTGTGTTTAGCAACGTCTTGATCACATCCAGAGGCGTGGTTATAGCCGCCGCACAGGCGCCAGCTGCAGCACCCGCCGCCATGTGCACTGGTGGATTGTATTTGCGTTCCAGGTTCAACTGCAACACAAGATGGATGGATATAAGGTGTTTGCGAGGCGATATACGTTATTAAATGCACTTACCGTGTTTTGGAAAAACTCGTATGTGGTAAAATGTATTGTCTGATATGGTAAATTCATGACCAGTTGCGTGCCGTAGGCTCTGTAAAAGGCTTTAAAGCCCTCCTTTTTGTAGATATCCCGTACGCAGGATATCACAGATGTGTAGGGTGAGTTGTACATCTGCATTCGCTGCTTGATCACATCCGTGGGACTAGAAATGGCGTCGTGAATGAGGGTAGCGACTACTCCCGAAATCACTGCAATGGATTTGGTACGTTAGGAGCCATTGGCGCAAGTATACTCATAAAATTACCATAGTTGAGGTTTCTCACTGTTGTGAACTTGGCTGTGAGCTCCTTGGTCATTTCGTACGCCGCGAAGTACAGCGAATGCGCTGGACCTGCACCCAATACTACAGCGCTGGCTCCCCGAACGGGTCTGTAAAATAGAAGGTATTTTTTAGATTACTCTGCAATACAGCAATGCAATTGGCTTCGCACTACTTACCTTAACAAGCCCTCACGTGAAATCATGTTCCGAAAGGTTGACACTATGTTCATGTTTTGTGTGGGCGGCGAAAGACTCTGCATTCGCGTCTATAAATGGGCAATAATGGAACGTTTAAAATAATTGTATTTATACATTGTGCATTTTACAATGGGCTTTCTGCAGTATTTGTTATTTAATTTACCCATTGTTTGTTTTAGATTAAACTGAGTAAACTACTGGTTAATGTGATGTGTCAGAATTACTAACTTCTTTATCTGACAAAATTGAATAGACTCGCTTTTCGCTATTATTCTGCAAATCATGGTTACTCATGAAATACAATACAGAAAACCACTCAATTGTGGGATCTCCGATTTTCATTTTATTCCCTGACATTGTCAAGACCTCAAAACGTGCTTTCGTCTGACTGGGTGTTTCCCGAAACTATTTTAATCTTTCACTGCAGTTGCAATGTTACAGACCAAAATGTCAACAGCCAGAGTGAAAAATTGTTTAAATGCATATTAAGTCATTTCATAAATAGTTTTAATTGATAATTCTAGTTCGAAGTTTTATTTAAGCTGTCTCCGTTTTGTCAATACGCTAATAATCGGTATAGAACAGCAGGTACTAATAACCGATATCAATGGAATATAAAAATATATATTACTGTGTTTGCCGGTCGAAACTTTCGCTGATTTATAAGCAAGTCACTCGGAGCCTACAGATTTGCAATTGTTTACGTATTTTACGATTACACAGGCGTATGCATACATATGTATGCACATCCATATACTTAATTGCATTTATTTAAAGGCGTGCCCGACAAGCAGACAATATAGAAATATATCAAAAAGCTGAGAGCTGCATCCACATTGTAAAATACGGAGACCGGGCTTTACGATGAAGATAAGATTTCCTAGAAAATCTATTTATCTGCTGGGTGCCCGCTGATATCAATAGCAAGTCAACAAGGCAATTCAAGGTGAAAAATCTACTCTCGAGTGGGGTCCGGAATAGAAACCTAATTAAAAAGGTGCCACGAACTGATAGAAGTCTCCATTACATAAATGTTTGACAGAACAGAGATTGAGAATGATTCATTCATCCCAATAGTAGGTGCGTCTGATAAGAAAACAAATTGGGAAGTCAGAATGACAACGCTGCGGCGGTAATTATTTATAAATCAGCACGAAACATCGCGAATAAAACCGCCTCAATTGCTGGTCAATTTAAGGTTTTCCGCTCTGGCTTTCGTAGCTTCATGAAATTAGCTCGTCAAACGGACTGTGGAGGGACTATTATAATGATGACGCCGGGAATCCCGGCCAGGCTTTAAACTGGCACCCAACTGCCTGCCGGCTGTCACAGCGCGATTGACACATGTGGCCACGAAAATCAATAAATGCTCGAGTCACCAGCCAGCTGAGTAAAATATAACGAAACAAGAATCGGTCAATAATAGAATGCCTTGTATATATACACACATATATCGGGCGAGCTTCATTACGAGGTAGCCAGGCGCATTTTGCATATGCTTAAGTTGTGTACTTTTGGCCCTACTGAGTTTTCAGGTGAACGATCAGAACTTTACCGATAAGATTTAGTCTGTTTAATGATGGAACGACGCGGTCTAATCTAATCACCGCAGCATAAACCAACCGAACGTGCGCAGATAAGGTCAGAAAGTGGCTATACCACGCAAAGCTGAGAATGGGGAACTCTTGGTTGCAGTTGATACCCGAGAAATTACATCACGATTATGCCAAAGCAGAAGCGGCGGCACACACAAAATTCCGATTGGTAGTGAGGTTAGGTTTATGGCCGTATTATGCTCCTCCGGTTACCAGGCGGGTAACGCTCTCACCTTGACGGAGTCCAGCGGATACATGACCACATGCTCCAGCACGCCAGCAATAGCGCCCGCCGTCATATTCACACCCACACTGGTGGTGGGCAGCGACTCGTAGTCGTCTATGTTCATGGTGGATCCGGTGGTCGTGCAGCTATAGCTACAGTGGTAGTGCCCTTGCTGCGGCTGCTCCTCTTACGATGACCTGCTAATCCGGACCAGTTGCTACAGCTCCAGTTCCAGTCGCAGTTGTAGAACAGCTTTCTCCACTGCGATTATGTTGCTCCACCGGGCGAAGATGGTGTTTGGGGTCGATTTTTAGCCGGCGTATGGTTGGAACACGGAACAATTTTGTTGTATAACACGGATATCGCGATTCACGGGTGGGCGGGTGTTCGGGGGGTGGTGCTGTTGAGTATGTAGAGTGTGTACGCGTGAGGTGGTGTTATGCGAAACTACTAATTGACACTGCGGCGGTACTCTGCTACTTGGTACTGGTACTATGCACGACTATCATATAGACGACACGCTCCCCGATTCACTCGATTTCGATTTCGGAGCGAAGAGGTTTTTGCTTCTGTTTCTGCGATTGCTCTGCCTGCGGCCCCTGTGTCGGATGAACTGCGTCTGCTGCTGCGGATGTTTTCTGGATATATACGAGTCGGTTGTAGGCGGAGTATGGCCGAAACGGAATATAAAATAGGCTTAGTGTTTGGCAACTCACGCAACTGCTGAATGATTACAGGGAATCATTAAATTTCGCCCAATAAACAAGCCTCGTGCCAAGAGTGACCGCAGCGGGTCCGTTGAAAATTCCCAAGGGGTTGGATTTTTATACCAAAGTAGGACATGTAATGGAAGCAATATACCAAAACCATGTGGGTGGGAAACTTTAATAAAAATCGTAGAAATATGACCGTAGGAGTATGACCTTTCTAGAAAAATACAATTGTAGCAAATATTGTTTATAAATATGAGACAAGAAGGCTGTGTACAAATAGTTTTAAGACCATGAGAATAATTGTAATTGTACTTGTTTATTTATAATATCATAGAAAATTTATATTATAGACATAAGAATAAAGTTCAGTTGACTGGTTTTCTAACTATATGAGAGCAGCAGAAAATAAGTAATGTCAAACTTTATGATAAGTTGTTTAACTTAATTTCTATAAAGTACCCTATGTATAATAAATAAGTCATACAGAACTATAAAATAACAAGTCAACGTTTTTGGAGGAGTGCAGACACTTTTTCTAAATAGAACGTCAAAAAACTATCATACAAAATTTAAAATCATATTGAAAATCAAATAAACTAAATCGGTTTTTTAATTTTCTCAATGTCGGTACTTATTTCATGCCCGCCACTGTATATATCTTAATTTTGAAGTATATTTTCTGTTATTTTTTAGTATTTTTCACGGCGCATGGCATGTTCCAACGCCGCACAAACGGTCAGCCAACAAGGGATTTAAAGGCTTTCCAGCCGTACGACGGCGTCATTTAAAAAATCGAAGCGGGCGTCGCAAGTGCGGATTAATTTATTGCATCTGTTATTCGTGACGTGGCCTTTTCGCCGGAGCAACTGATAGCTCGTCCTCCGTAAATCAAGTTATCTTTGATCATGAAGTACTTTTTGCTGTTTGGCCTGCTGCTTTTAGCAGGTACGTTTGAGTTTGCCACGCCGCCATGCCGGTGAAATACCGGTGTTTTAACCTAATTAATTCATGTCGCGTTCTCGTTTCTTAGGCGTCAATCAAATCGCCGCTAGTGAAGATGAGTCCGCAACGGAAACCATTGATTTGGATCTGGGATCCTTCAAGGAGGGATCAAGAACCGGTAGGTTGACACGCCCCCTGCGAGTTTCGCTAATGTTGATGGTACACGTCAGCGTTGCGAACCCCTGCAATGAACGCCCCCATTATCTTTTCTCCTTATCCAAATCCACAGATGCCGAAACCCTGAAGCGTGAGGAGGAGGCCATCCAATTGGATGGTTTGAACGTGGCGCAATTGAAGGAAATTCGCGAGAAGGTGGGTTCATACCAGGTCATCCTGAAAGTACACGTATGACTGGATTTTCCCTTCTCTTTTTCTTTGTCTCGGCAGGCGGAAAAGTTTACCTTCCAAACGGAGGTCAACCGAATGATGAAGCTGATTATCAACTCCCTGTACCGCAACAAGGAGATCTTCCTGCGTGAATTGATCTCCAACGCATCCGATGCCATTGACAAGATCCGCCTTTTGGCACTTTCGAACAGCAAGCAGCTGGAGAGCAATCCGGAGCTCCACATTCGTATCAAGGCCGACAAGGAAAACAAGGCGCTGCATATTATGGACTCTGGTATTGGCATGACTCATCAGGACCTGATCAATAACCTGGGAACAATCGCCAAGTCCGGCACCGCGGATTTCCTGGCCAAGATGCAGGATCCCAGCAAGTCAGAAGGACAGGATATGAACGACATGATTGGTCAGTTCGGTGTGGGCTTCTACTCTGCCTTCCTGGTCGCCGATCGTGTGGTTGTGACCACCAAACACAACGACGACAAGCAGTACATCTGGGAGTCGGACGCCAACAGCTTCAGCATCACCGAGGATCCTCGTGGCGACACCCTGAAGCGTGGATCCGTGATCTCGCTCTACCTTAAGGAGGAGGCCCAGGACTTCCTGGAGGAGGATACCGTCCGCGAGCTCATCCGAAAGTACTCGCAGTTCATCAACTTCCCAATCCGCATGTGGTCCAGCAAGACTGTCGAAGAGGAGGTGCCAGTGGAGGAGGAGGCCAAGCCCGAGAAGACCGAGGATGACGTGGAGGATGAAGACGCCAAGGTCGAGGAGGCCGACGATGAGAAGCCCAAGACCAAGAAGGTCTCAAAGACCACCTGGGACTGGACCCTGATCAACGACAGCAAGCCCATTTGGACCCGCAAGCCCGCCGAAGTGACCGAGGAGGAGTACACCAACTTCTACAAGAGCCTGACCAAGGACTCCAGCGAGCCCCTGTCCCAGACGCACTTCATCGCCGAGGGCGAGGTGACCTTCAAGAGTTTGCTCTACGTGCCCAAGGTGCAGCCCTCGGAGTCCTTCAACCGGTACGGAACCAAGTCGGACAACATTAAGCTGTACGTGCGCCGCGTCTTCATCACCGATGAGTTCAACGATATGATGCCCAACTATCTGAGCTTCATCCGCGGTGTCGTGGATTCCGATGACCTGCCCTTGAACGTTTCCCGTGAGACCCTGCAGCAGCACAAACTCATCAAGGTGATTAAGAAGAAGCTGGTTCGCAAGGTGCTCGACATGCTCAAGAAGATCGACAAAGACGCCTATGAAAAGTTCTGGAAAGAGTTCTCGACCAAGTAAGTGAAGTTTTACGAAAAAATGAAGGGGAGGTTTTTTTTTTTTTAGAATTTTGAATCAAGAACAAATATTATTTGCATGCAATGATAAAAAGATAAGAATAGGCAGAATCCACGTAATTATTATTTTGACCAATTGGTGACGTGGTTTATTTATTATACACGTTCAAAATTGATAACAGTTTGTTATTTTACAAAAAACTCGGATTTGTTTTAAAACTTCTTATGTATTGCTGTTAACTTTAAAGTTAATTTTATTAGTATTTCTATAAAAATATACATAGGAGTGTATTTATAAGATTAAGGAAATGATAGAAATATAAATAATGATGGTTTTAGATGTAGTTGCAAAAATACGTGAAGAGATAAGAGAATACATTTCGCAGAATTCGGGCAATATTATAATATTTGACCATAGTGACGTGGAAAATTGATAAGAATTTTGTTCGTGGAACAACGATTTTTTAATTATATTAATGGGTATTTAAATTAAATTTTGAAAGCATATGTACAATTTTGATAATCCTTAAACCATTTTAAGAAGATAATGTATATTAGTAGCGAAAAGCCAATCTTTTGTCCTTAAACAACTAACTGATTTTTTATATTTTCTTGGTAATCAACATTTTTTTCGAATTGCAGCATTAAACTGGGTGTGATGGAGGATCCCAGCAACCGATCGCGTCTCGCCAAGCTGCTCCGCTTCCAGACCTCCAACGGCAAGGGCGTCACCTCGCTGGCCGAGTACAAGGAACGCATGAAGGCAAAGCAAGAGCACATCTACTACATCGCCGGTGCCAACCGCGCTGAGGTCGAGAAGTCGCCCTTCGTGGAGCGCCTGCTGACCAAGGGCTACGAGGTTCTGTATCTGGTGGAGGCCGTCGATGAGTACTGCATCTCCGCCCTGCCCGAGTTTGATGGCAAGAAGTTCCAGAACGTGGCCAAGGAGGGATTCCAACTGAACGAGTCTGAGAAGAGCAAGAAGAATTTCGAGTCGCTGAAGAGCACTTTCGAGCCGTTGGTTAAGTGGCTAAATGATGTGGCTCTCAAGGATCAGATCTCCAAGGCTCAGGTGTCGGAGCGTCTGAGCAACTCCCCGTGCGCACTAGTTGCCGGTGTCTTCGGCTGGACCGGCAACATGGAGCGTTTGGCCATGTCGAACGCCCACCAAAAGTCCGACGATCCTCAGCGCACCTACTATCTCAACCAGAAAAAGGCACTCGAGATCAACCCCAGACATCCACTGATTCGTGAGCTGCTGCGTCGCGTGGAGGCCGACGAGGCTGATGACACCGCCAAGGACATGGCAGTGATGATGTTCCGCACCGCCACTCTGCGATCTGGGTACATGCTCCAGGAGACGGCTCAGTTCGCCGACAGCATTGAGCAGATGATGCGCCAGACTTTGGGAGTTTCCCAAAACGAACAAGTCGAATTCGACGAGGATGAGGAGGACGATGCCGAGGAGACCACGCCAGAGAGTCAAGAGAGTGCAAATGCCGACGATGAGGAGGAGGATCAGCAGCACGATGAGCTGTAAGCCGGATCATAGTTCACATAGATTGTACATAAGAGTGTGGAGGTCAGACTGAGTTTTAAACAACCACCTGCCGGGCGTTTCATAAACATTACTCCTTAGCATGTCCTTAGTTTCTAAGTAAAGCAATTTCGTAATCCTTCGCCCACGTTGTCGCTACGTCCAGTCGCCCAGAGAGCACTCCTCCATTACACCATAACACACTCTCAACGTTCGGTCACTCAAGCGTTTTCTTTTTTCGAAAGCAAAAATAAATGTATTTATACAATGTAATGCGTAATACAGAACAGATTCCAATCAAAATAAAGAAAGACAAATTAATATAAATGGATGCTTATTCCAAATCAAACTCTATTTGCCCAAATTGGCTACCTAAGATTTTATCTATCGTAAAAATACAAAATGCGTAACAATCTTATATCATGTAAGGACCAGTTTAGTCTTCAAGGTCGGAACACAATGGGTCATCGTTCAAGGCCTTCAGATACGAGTGGTACTTCATTTGGTCACGTATTTGCTGCACTGCCTCTGAATGTGAAAAGTGGTATGTGTCCATGAAGAGGCGCACTATCCACAGCGGGAGCAGTCCGTTTACAAGCAGTGCTGTATGATTCTGATAATCAGAAAGTTTTTAGATATGTTTTATTCCAAGCATCCATACACTTACGCTTTTACCGCTGTAGACATCCCCAAGTTTCTGGAGCATCTTCTGGTGAATTTTCGTGCTAAGTATGTCCATGATTTCAATGTGAGAAATATTCATATAACTAAGGGTGCGCGTCTTAAACTCCCGATCCTTGAACAGCTTGTCGAAATCGGTACGATATTTGTCGAAAGTTTTCAAAACATCTGCTTCGCCCATTTTTTCCAAGAGACTGAGGCAATCAAAAGATCAGAGGTTGAAGGCAATTTCGTAAACGTTTTATTTCCATCTGCTCGAATCACTTACAGAATCTCAACTTTTCGCGGCTTGGGCATGTCCAGCATGCTGTCCAGCCGTTGCAGTGCATCAAACCGGGCTCCGTCCATCTGCCCCACCATCAGAGCTTTGGGTGGCGATGGGGTAGGACGTTTAGGCTTGACCTTTGATTTCTTACCCTTGTTGCCCTTCGTCTCGCTAAAAATGAACCCAGAAAAATGCTTAATATTGGTATTTCCAGTTAAAGGTCCGAAGCGTACCCTACGACGAAATTGTTAAATCGACTCGGACGCATTGGTGATCGGCCTGAGCGGCGAGCAGGCTTGGACTCCACAGAGCTGGATCTATAACTCCTGCGAATACAGAAATAAGCCTTGATTCTCGTACTCCTCCTAATGAATATATTTTTTACTCGCCTTTGATCTGGACTCTTCGATCGCTTGATAGGATTTCCCTGGCGGGAGGATGAAGCGCTACTGGAAGACTTTTCCTTCTCGCCTCCATGGGAAATGGATCTGCGCTCGCGTTTGATGGCTGGCGGTTTGCTGCCTGAGGAAAATAAGTCATCGTCGTCGTCGGCATCTATGTGCTTGGGCTTCGATTGCGAGCATTTCTCTAGTGCACTAATACAAAATCGTTTAAAATTATTAAAAACTAAGTATAAGAAGCTTAGATAATAACAAATTGTACATTATACGATTCTTAACGTGAAATACTTATTAAGGAAAATGGTTTTAATTATTATACTCATTATAATCATTACATATGCAATTCATATCACAACACTAACGAGTATAAAACGTGGTATTAGCTTACCATAAAGACGAGAAGACATTCGTAAACATATAGGCACTTAGACTAACTAGGTACTAAATAAACATTATTTAATTGAGAATTACATCAATCATGCAAAAATTAGCAATATAAGTACATTTAAATGGTCAAAAATTGCGCCTAATGCATTTGAATAAGCTACTTAAACATACATTTATTTAAATAATCTTAGAAAATTTTGGGCAAGCAACGAATCATATGATAAAATTTATCAACAAGGATATAATTGACTAATTTACTTATAACATAAATGCCAATCATTGCAAAATAAGTATTACAGGGCATAAAGGCTACCAAAACGAATTTCAAATGACAATGTCCTTAGGGCTACTTGGGTGGAAAACTACTTAGGGCTGGGTACTTAGTAAGGGGTTTCCTACCCAGCTTTCGGCTTAGATCCCGAGGTGGCCGCCTTGGCCTTGTTGGAATTAATATTGCGGCCGGAGCCGTTGGATTCTGTATCCGTGGCATGTTTGCGCTTCGTGGTGTGGACGCCCACAATAGTTTTGTCCTCGTGCGTCATGTATTGGAGCTGGATGTCCAGGCAGAGATCCTTGGGGGTCGCTTCCTCCCCTGCCAATAAGGTCATCGTGGCAGTATGCGGTTTGTCGGTGGCCTGGACCTGAACATTGATATGATCGATCAGCAGCTCCCTGTGCAGTTTGTGGGCATCCTGCCAGTTTTTAAGGTTCTCGAACAGGCGCCACAGTCCATCTTCGATCCTGTCCCAGCGATCCGCCGTCATCCAGTGGAAAACATTCTGTGGTTCCCGCTCAAAATGGGTCACAGGTGTCGGCAGAACTTTGAAGCTGCATGCGATGCGGTGATTCTTGTACTGAAATGGGAATTGGTTTAGGGCGGGACCGCTTGCAATATTCACTGGTTAGTACTTTATATATTTGCGAAATTAATTGGCAATCACCAATGGCGGAAAATGACATTTTTGCAAAATCGTCCCGATTTGGCAGCACAAACAATAATTAACTTCTAATAAAAAATGTCTGGTCACACTTTTTGAGGTAGATAATCGATAGGCTTATCGATTGACGATACTCTTAATCGATATTTACGCGCCACTAAGCTTAAAATTCATTATCAATAAACGTTGGTTAAACTTTCATTTATTTTCTTAATAATAACACAATATTTTCACAATTAATTTAATTTTTCAATAGCCCTATATCTATACAAATATTAAGAAAATGTTATAGTTTTATATACAATTTTTAAAGGCAGCCATCATTATTTGAAACTTGTGTTAAAAATATAAAAAAAAATATTACACTTTAATATTTTTAATATACATTATTTAAAACTGGTGTTTGCAAATTGGCAAAGAAGTAGTTTTAGTTTTAGCTTGGAAAGTCTTAGGAAACATACAATTTTATTTATTTTTTCGCAGAGCGTCTTAAAAATATTATAAATTGCAATGCTAAAGTCTCTGCTGATTATATTTTAATGTTAAGAATTTTTTATAAAGCCTTCAAGGGTTTTGGAAAGTGCGTACTTAAAGAGGGGTTCTCAACGCTAACGGGTTTCCTTTTTACTTACTTTCAGGAATTGTAGAAATTGAGTGATAACCTACTAATAAATAAATATTAGTGCTTTCGAATAACAGTTTCAAAATATACTGACTCTGTTGCTTTTAATCTGAATGAATGACGCCATAATGAGTAAATCATTTAAAACTTACAAATCCTTATCTCACCAGCGTGTAGCTTAGGTCAAGTCTTGGCAGTACAATGGATTACACAATACAACAAATTATACCGATGTGGTAAAGCTCATAATGTCCGGTTTGCATAGTCTCTTATTCGGCAGTTGTTCAGTTCTCAATAGCGCTTGGAATAAAACAGTCAAGACTCTGTGCACGCCCTAAGAATAGGGCATCATGTTTTCAATCTCAACGCGCTCTCGATTATCCTTGTCCTTCCTTATTTGTGTATTTTTGTCGGTGAGTGAGGCCAGAAGTGTTTCGAATGACTCCCAGGATCAGTCGGATCGCGAAAAAAAGATCACTGATGACACGGCGGAGTATCTCAGATCCTATGGCGCGAAGATGAAGTCCTATATGAACTTTAGTGTCGAACCCTGCGATGATTTCTACGAGTACGCCTGCGGAAACTGGAAACAGCCGCGGAAAAGCAAACAAAAGGAGAGCAATCTGCTGAGCATCGACTATTCTCTGGCGGTTATTACAGAGCAGCTGATGACCAGAACTCAATTGGCAGAGGCACTAAACGTTTCCGACGAACTGCTTGTTACACAACGCTTCTATAACGCTTGCCTAACAGCCGTGGTCTCTCCGCTTCCGGCCGCTGATCCCGCTTATCTATCGCTTATCAGGTCAGTGGGTGGTTTCCCCGCCGTCGACGGAGCTGCCTGGAACGCCTCCAAATTTAGCTGGTTCAACATGAGCGCCCATCTCACCAACTACGGTGTCAAGGGGCTGATCAACGACGACATCCTGGCTAAGTACCCCTTCGATCCGAACTTTAAAATGCCGGATTTGGGCTACGACCATCCCGTCCATACGGACAACATCGCCAATTCCAGTTCGCGAGCCTACAAATTGAACGAGGACCGCATGCGCGGCTACCTGCAGGCCTTCAATCTCACGGAGGAAAAAATCTCCGCCGTGGTCGCCGGCGTCTTTGACTTTTGGCGCGAGGCACTCTCTATTGAAGATAAGTTTGAGGGTAATGAGGATATGTGTATAATGCTTACCGATATGCACGAGGTGCCAGTATTTAGTCAATGGAGGAGCTATTTCGAAATCGCCTGGAATGGCCTACACTTCAATGAGGAAGAATATTATTACTGCCCCTATTACTACGCCGAGCTAGACAAGGTGTGTGCCAAACATCAGGAGGCGGTGGCCAACTATCTGGCTATGCTGCTCCTGTACCGCATGGACAGTTCTCTGAAGGACGAAAAGTACCATAAGGAGCACTGCCTGATGCTGGTCCAGTCCACAATGGACCATCTTATTAACAAACTCTACATGGCGGTGAGTTAAAAATTATTTGAAGATTGAGCAAGGGTTTCCAGAATTGGTTCTTTTGTAAATAACGTCTCCGGCTACTACCAACAGTTGAAAAAAATGTATTTGATTTATATTAAAACACAACAAATTTTACAAAATCAAAGAATTTTTGCCGACAGTATTAAGAAATCGGGAACAAAGTCACTGTCGGTGCTAGCATATAAATATACCTTACCTGCATTTTTTTATTTGGGTCAACACATTTGTAAGTGGCGCCATCTGCTGGGGCTTATATAATTAAAAATTGAATAACAGTGTACGAGTATCTGATAGTCATTTTATTTATTCAGAACTGAATCGAATTTCGTCAGAACTATCTACTTGCCTAATCCATTTACATTTGTTCGCAGGAGTACTTCAGCGAGGAAACACACTCCGAGATCTCCGGCTTGGTGAAGGAGTTGCGGAAAACCCTGCGTCAAGAGCTGGAGAATGCCGAGTGGCTGGATACGGAGACGCGGCGAGAGGCGTTGCTTAAGGAGGCCAATATCACGGCGCAGATTGGTAGCTACAAGGACGAGCAGCTTACCGACACCCTCATCCGCCAGATCAGGAATCTCTCCGTGGTCAAGGACAGCTTTGCTCAGACCATGATTAATCTGCGTAAATTTGGAGTCAGTCTTGGACGGTACAATGGCCTGCACTATAAAGAAATACCCGCGGACTCGAAGCCACTGGAGTTGCTCGTTGGGATGCAGCCGAATGCCTTCTACTTCAACATGGATAACTCGATCTACATAATGGCAGGTCTCCTGCATCCGCCCGCGTATCACCGCTCCTGGCCCGACTCCCTTAAGTTTGGCACCCTGGGCTACCTGGTAGGTCACGAGTTGACCCACGGTTTTGATACGGTGGGCTCCACCTATGACGGCGCTGGGGAGGAGCGCAATTGGTGGTCAAAGAAATCTGATGCTGTGTTCCAAGAACGCGCGCAGTGCTATGTGGATCACTTCAGCAACTACTTAATACCGGAGATCAATCATAAGATCAAAGGCAACGAGACCAAGGATGAAAATATTGCAGATGCCGGTGGATTGAGGGAGGCCCTCGCCGCCTACAGGAGCCACATGAAGCAGCTCCAAAAGAAGGGCGAGAATAACGAGACTTTGACACCCCAAAACGAGCAGATGCCCGGGCTCGACCTCTCGCCAGAACAACTTTTCTTCCTCGGATTTGCACAGCTTTGGTGCGCCAACTACGAGCAGGAGGATTACTGGGAGGAGTTGAAGAATGAGCACACCATCGAAAAGTATCGCGTTCTGGGGGCCGTTTCCAATAATGAGGTCTTCGCCGAGGCCTACAACTGCCCTCTGGGAAGTGCCATGCATCCAAAGTTTGAAAAATGTCGCTTGTGGTAATGTGAAGACAACTTTAACTCGATATTAACACATAGCCATAATAAACACATACAAATAAAAAACGAGTAAAGAAAATAAAGACAAGGAGCGTGGCTATATATCCCGTTACTCACATAACAAATTTTAAAATAATTGTAAATTTCAAGGAAATGTATACAGTTTTCAAAGGCAATAAATTCCTCAGAAAAACAGAAATACAAAACGATTCAAAAAAATATAAAAACGATTAAATAAATAAAAAAAGCAATGTCGCTATTATTTTAAAATAAATGTAAATTTCAAGAAAATGTATACAATTTTTTAAAGGCAATAAATTCCTCAGAAAATAATCATTATTAATAAATTGTTTTTGCCAATTGGAAAAAGTAGTCTTTTCAAAGTAAAAGTCTTTTATCCAAGTCTTAGATAAAATTAGTTTCTGTTCTTGACTCGTATTTTAAAATAAATTCTTTTTGAAAGTTTTAGGAAACATGAAATTTGATTTATTTTATCGCAAACCGTCCAAAAATATTATAAGTTGCAATGCTAAAATCTTTGCTAATCATATTTTAATGTTTCGAATTTATTATACCGCCTTCAAGGGTTTTAGAAAGTGCGTACTTGAAAAGTGGTCCTCAACGTTAATGGGTTTCCTTTTTATTTATTTTCATAAATTGTATAAATTGTGATAGATGTAATCTACAGTCTTTTTAAAAAATAAGTGATAACCTACTAATAAATAAATATTGCCGCTTTTGATTAACAATTCAAAAATATACTGACTCTGTTGCTTTTAATCTGAATGAATGACGCCATAATGAGTAAATCTTTTAAAACTTACAAATCCTTATCTCAGCAGCGTGTGGCTTAGGTCAAGTTTTGGCAGTACAATGGATTACACAATACAACAAATTATATTTTATAATAACAATTTACCAGCTATAAGGGTGTTATATAAAATATCATATATTTAAAATTAAATAGTTCTTCTCTCGCTCAAAAATTAATTTCTAAAATATTTTCTCTCGCGTTAAATATGACTCAAGTAATATGCCATCTGAACTGTTTAATTTTATCCAAACAAAAACCTTGGAAAATAGATTTTACAAGTGTTACAAGTTATACAAGATCTCTGTTGTCCAGTGTTGTTCGCCGATGTGGTAAAGCTCACAATGTCCGGTTGGCATAGACTCTGTTTCGGCAGTTGTTCAGTTCTCATCAGCGCTTCGAATAAAACAGTCAAGCCAGTTGCTTACATTTTAAATAATTCGGGCCATTTATTAATCTTTGCACGTCCTAAGAGTATGGCATCATGATTTCAATCTCGACGCGCTCTCGATTATTCTTGTCCTTCCTTATTTGCCTATTTTTGTCGGTGAGTGAGGCCAGAAGTGTTTCGAATGACTCCCACGAAGAAAACAGGATCACTGATGACACGGCGGAGTATCTTAGATCCTATGGCGCGAAGATGAAGTCCTATATGAACTTTAGTGTCGAACCCTGCGATGATTTCTACGAGTACGCCTGCGGAAACTGGAAAAAGCCGCGGAGAAGCAATCACAAGGAGAACAATATGCATAGCATCGACTATT